TAGTATTACGGGGAAMCCCGTAGCAGCCACATCCGTGCTCGAGCCTCCAACGAGGGAACATGCGGGAGCTGCACCCACCAGCAGGTGCGATACCTGCTACAGCAGGTGGGCGATACCGGCCAGGGGTCAGCCGGTAGCATCAGGGCATCTTTTCTTCGATGGGCCAGTCACTGTGCCTCCCCTCCGGTCCCCTCCCCCTATGAACATCAGCAGTCTCTGCTCAATGCCACTCGGGGGGACCAACGGCATATCTCTAGGTGGCGGGCGCCAGGCTTGCCCAGGAAGGTACATGAGGCCAGTGGGGATTGAACCCAAGACCTCCTGAATGCCACTTGCGTGCCTTACAAACTGAGCTAGGCCGCTGGATAGTTGTTTTTACTTTCCGATCTCAAGTGCCCGCCCTCCAAACTCAAGTGCGTTTTTTTTTTGTGTTTCTATTTTCCCAGCAGGCGATCCTGGTCCAGGATAGGTCAAGCCGTGGAGTTCGGTTTCAAGTGCAGCCTGTTCAAGGGTTTCCTCGAGTGTACATGGAACCATAAATCGAGTAAGTGTAAATTGATCACAATTTCTCGTTTAGTGTGCACTTGAAACTCAAGTTTCTTTTGTTCTTTTTCTTTTTTGACGACACATGCTCCAATCTATTGGTGGGGAGCAGCACCCACTGGAAACAGGGTCCAGCGTCCCATTGATAAGCAGTAAAAAGAAATGCAGCACCCCGTTGGACACCACTTGAAATACTTGACGCCCGCCACCTAGAGATAGACCACTGGATCCCCCGATAGGCATTCAGCAGAGTCTGCTGGTGTTCGAAGGGGAGGGGACCAGCACCTGAGGGGAGGCACAGGGATTGGTCCTGTTGGCATGGTCCCTGATGCTAGCGGCTGTCCCCTAGCCGGTATCGCCCACCTGCAGGTCGGGAGCAGCCCCCGCATGTTCTCTTGTGAACACGGTTTTGGCTGCCACAGAGTTTCCGTATGCCTACAATTAGGAGTAGTGGTAGGTAGGTAGTGTGAGGTGAAATTGAGAGAAGAACATAGCTTTTAAAAAAAAAAATAATAAATATATATATATATACAGGGTTACCGGCGTTCGGGACGGGCCGAACGCCCGAACCCGAATGCCCGAACGTACGGGACCCCTTCGGAAGGCGTTCGGCCGTTCGGGCCGAATGCGAACCAAAAAAAAAAAAAAAAACGTTTTCAAATACTTCCCAAAAAAACATATGTTATGGAGAAAAATAAACCAAACAACATTTGCCTGGGCAATACATCCAAATTCTTTACCAATTTGAATTAAAAATCAAATACAGAAAATAAACACTATGATAAAAATAAGAAAAAATAAAAAAAGAATTAAGATGAGTGATTGTGCCAACACCTTTTCGACACCGCCATCTTTGCCAATTTTTAATTATTCTTTGGCATTGACAAATGCCCTAAAAATTTACAGATATGTAGTTTACATAATCAATAACTCATTAAAAAAATATATAATAATAATAATAATTCCTTTTAGGCCCCGAAATATAGTGAAAACAAAAAGTTAAAAGTGAAAAAAACAAAATAGTGAGTGGGTGAGCACGTTTTGACACCCCCATCTTTCACGATTTTTAATGTTTTTTTGGCTTAGCAGAATGGCTTCAAAATCTATAGGCGTGTAGGTTACATCATCGAGAACTCACAAAAAAACATTAAGAAAACAAAACTTATTTTTAGGCCCCGAAACATTTTATGGCGGGGGTCGAACCTGGAGGTGTTCGGCCCCCGAACGGGATCCCGAACGCCCGAACGTTCCGGGGCCAGCACGGGGGCCCCCGAACGTTCGGTCAGGTAACCCTGTATATATATATACCGGGCAATTCTGTTTGTGACGATATTTTTCCAGCTTTAAAAAGTCGACGCGGCCGTTAACGCGTTGTCGGGGCAGAAACCCTGACAAGGGTATCTGCCCGATATTTTAAATGTCGGACGATGTCCGACTTAATAAATAGTTATTCGGGCTTCATAACTTGATGAGATGGGTTATCTGCCATAAGTTTATTCGAACTTGACCTATGACTGAAAGACTAAAACTTATTGAACCTAAGACCTAACGGTTGCGGCATATGGCATCGACGGTAAGAGCCGGCAGCGTGACCAGGTTTTTTCCCATGTTTGGTAACGCCGCACGGACGTACGGTCGTAAAATATGATAATTTTATACCTATTCTATCTAAAATACGGACAGTCGCACGATTCAGAGCCTACGAGGCTAATAGGGACCTCCGGGTTGAAGGCACGACGGTGCCCGCGAGGGCCAGCGGCCTTCTTTGTTAAGAGCTGGAGACCGCCGCGGTTGATACATGCGGCCAACTTGATGGGGCAAGCAGGGTCAACAAGGCCTCAAGCTGGTAAGGCAGCAGGGTCACAAGCAGGCAGGACCTGCAAGGCCAGTGCAGAGGGGGATAAAAACTGGGCAACCCTTAATATGGAAGGGTTGCTTCTATCACTGTCATGATAGGAGCTAGCTTAGTAGGTTACTGTACAGGACTGTCACCCAGCAGATATCGGGATCGAATCGGAGGAACTGCACCTCTAGGCTAGCTCCTTTTGGAGCAGCCCAAGGCGGTTGGGCGCGACTGATTCCGGCCACGCGATCATCAAGATCGCGCGACTGAGATCTGTCGTGCGCAGATTAGCCTGGTCCCTACGCAAGGATAGCACGCTTAAATCGATAAAATCGTCGAAAGTTTTCTTTTTTTTTTTCAGTTTTCCGATCCCATCAGGGATCGAACTTGGGCCGGATTGTTACGACTCGTGGCTGAGAAGCCACGAGGAAGTGACAAATCGTTGACATAAGCCAACCGGAAAAAAAAAAAAACTAAAACAAAGAAACGAATGAAGTGTCAGTTGGCGCTACAGGAGCTGGTGGGGAATTGCAGTCCCCATAAATTGATACAGGCGCCCATTTTATGGGGTGCCTCTTATATATATATATATTAAACTTGATTCCTTATAAATAATTAAGCAGAGGCCGGAGACCTCACAATTCTACCCGGATGCACTGGCAGCATCAGCCAGCTTAGCTTACAGGTTTTCACCTGCGGAAAGTTGAAAAGCTACCAACTTTCCAGGTCCTACTCAACTTTCCTGTTCGACCTTGGTCCTGCCAACCTATTACTACAGAATGTTACTATTATACCATTGTCACTAAGTAGCTGACCATCCAATCAAACCAGCTGCACAGGCTGACCCACCTGATACCCTGACTGTTTAACCTGTAACTACTGCTTCAGATCCACTCCCATAAATATGGCGAGATGACTGAGTAACTTACCAAAAAGTGTATAACTTGACCAATTTCAAAAACACTACTCGTTTACAATTTCCCTGCCATCCGTACGGTATATTTTTGCGCCTATTTCTGGGACTAACTCGTCCCAGAGGACCTGGAACACACCGGTCCCTTGCCTATCAGCCCTCTCCTAACTGGCCTACTGCGGGCCTATGCAACCGAGTGCCCTGGTTAATTGTCTGCCTACTCCACCTTTTACTCAACCCGCCCTTACTCCACAGCCAACTCTTTATGTTACTCTTGTCGCTCCTCCTGTTTCGTTTGCTGTCCTGGTGGTGTCCACTGGTCTGGAGTCCATTAACCACCTTGATAGGACCAGACCCTTCACTGAGTGAATCGCGGCCAGCTGGTGGTTCTTCGCCCATGTGTGCAGAAACCAGCGGATCTGGCCCCGACTTCCTCTTCCCAACCTGATTCTCCTTCTCCAATCCACGCGGATGGCTTGCCTCAGTCCCTACTTTATATGTCTCTTGATTTCCACATTAGAAAAATGTATTTTGTGGAATCTGGCTCTGTTCCTGTCCGACTAGATGACTTCACAAATCAGACCTCTGACCACATGGGCTACATACCCCCAACCTCGCCTTCCACTCACGCCTGGAGGGAGGAAACCCAGTAACACCCATCTCTCATCCCAGAGAACATGCTGGCCCTCGAATTCCTTCCAATGATGAGCCCACCAATTTCACACTCGTTTTGATGCTGGGCAATCCCACCAGACATGACGGGTCGATTCGAATAACCATCTGCAACGTGTGCATCCCAGACTAACATCCATCCCTCTGCTGACCAACCATACGGCAGATGGGGTAACCATCAGAGAGAGTAACCAGAGGATACTTGCCTGTTTGCCATTCGGAAGAGCTGCTAAAATCCTCCACAGTTTTAGGAAATCCTGACCTGAATGAGATAAATCCTCACCTCAAACGGCCTGCCATCTTGGGACTGCAATTTGGGCAGGGCTCTTCAATAGCCTTTGAGATTGTTGATAGCCGTGTGAGACCGAGTAGTCTATCAGTTTCAGAGCTGGCTCGTCCCCTGCCGATCTCCAGCCCCAGGCCTGCGGGTCCATGCCTAGTTGGCGCAGCTGAGTCTTGCCAACCCACGAGAGGACCTTGGTACGTGGTCTCTTGCTCCATGATTCAACCACCCTAGCTTCTGTCGGATTACTCCAAATCATGACTGTATCTTCTTCTATTAGAGACAGGGTGTTGGAAGGACCGCAGCACCGCCATTTCTGTACCCTCCTGAACCCGCTAGGTAAGACCTCCAGCATCTTCCACACCTCGTTCGTCTCCATCCCCTGGTCCGAGACGTACCATGTTCCCGGGGGGTCGACTCCCGTCGGGCCCAACAGCCTCACCCAGTCCTGGGGGATAGCTTCAACTACTTGCGTCCAGTGTTCTTCCACCCTTTGCAGGCCCCTGAGTGTCTCTTTCACCTCCGCCAACGGTTTCCACCCTCCCAAACACGGGGACCACAGGTCTTCGATCCGGACTATACCCCTTTTTATCCAAGCCAACCCAGAGGTGCCTCTTGAACCGTCCGCGAGTGAGGGGGAACCGGTACGGTCCAGCATATACTGGTTCTTGAAGAGTAGCTGGCCCATCACGTCTTCTTTCGTACACGGGGTGGTTTGCTCGTTCGGGGGCATCTTGTTCCATGCCTTGCGTATTGCTTCCCAGAAGCTTGACTTTAGTCTTTTCTTCCTGAGCGACGACATGAAGAAACACGCCCAGACGTCCTTGGGTCTGCAAAGGTCTCACTCCTTCATCAGGATTTGTTCCGCCAGCGCCACCCAATGCTCGGTTGGGCCTTGCATCAGCGCCCTGGACACCCAGCTACGCAGCTGTGCCTGATTCCTTCGGGCTGGGTCTATAAGCCCCAAGCCCCCCTCCTCGCGTGGGAAGGACAAGGTATCAACCGCCACCTTAGAAACGAAACCCTCTTCCTGGCCGGCCCGAGGTTTCCATATGAAGCGCGCCGCAAGCCTTCGAACTGCTTTTATAATGCCACTTGCAAGCTCTCTCACCGTGGTGACAAACCACAGGATGGAAAAAAGGGCGACGCTGGCTACCAAGGCTCTTCCTACTAATGATAGGTGCCAAGCCGAACCCCACAACCTGAGCCGTGCAGCGATCCTCTGTTGTAGATGGAACCCTTGACCCGACACATCAATCTGTAGACTTATCCAGATCCCCAGGAATCTCTCCTCCTCCCCTTCTTCAACCCTTCTCATGCCCCACTCTACCTTCAACGAGAATTGAGTTGGTAAAAGGTAGGTGGATTTGTTCCAGTTGACCGTTGCCTCTGATAGCTCCGCGTACTCGCACATCACCCCTTTGAGGGTTGAGAGAGAGGCGACTGTATTCTCGCTGACTAAGAGCAGATCATCAGCGAGAGCTTTGACCCTGCAGTCCATGCCGTTATGTAACTGGATGCCTCTGATGTCGGGGTGTGATCGGATCTTGTTCAATAGAACCTCTAGTTGCAGGACAAAGATGAGCGGGGCGAGTGGACACCCTTGACGTAGCGATCTTGATAATTGGAAAGGAGCGGACAAATGGCCGTTAATCATGACTGCCGATGAGGAGAAGGTGTACATCGCAATGACCCAGGCGCAGAAGCCTTCGCCAAATCCCATTCTCCGCAAGGTGGTGAGAACGAAAGCCCAGCCTACCTTATCGTATGCTTTCTCCAGGTCCAGAAGGMGAACCGCCATATCACGGTTCTCCTCCTGGATCAACTCGAGGGATTCTATGGCTGTCACAATATTGTTAAAAATAGACCGCCCCTGCACAAAAGCCCCCTGGTCCTTCTCCACCAGCTCCGGAAGGTATTTGGACAACCTTTGGGCCAACGCCTTCGCCATAATTTTGTAAGAGACGTTTAGAAGGGAGATTGGACGCCAGTTTCGGACCTCCGATTTGTCTCCCTTCTTAAACATGACCGTGATCACCCCATGCGTCATTCCCTTGCCCAGCTTACCCCCTACTAGCACCTCATTGCACAGTTCCACTAGTAACGGGCCAAGCACCCCCCAGTTTGATGCGTAAAACTCCACCGAGAGACTATCTACTCCTGGAGACTTTCCCTTCGCCATAGACTTCAACGATTGGGAGAGTTCTTCCACGGTAAAAGGTCTGTCCAGGTCCAGCTTGGCTGACGTATGCAGTTTCACAGTTGTGCTGTCCCACATGTCTGTCCCACTTGACAGGTCCACGTTCACCCTGTCCTGCGGTCGTCTGGAAGTCAGTATGTCCTCATAGTACATCCTTGCATACTGGAGCATCCCCGTTGCGGAATAGGCTGGAGGTGCGGACTCAGCGAACGGGTGCTTGAGCTCAATCATCTGCTGCTGCAAACGGCTTGGTTGGAGTTTTTGGAACGTCTCCTTTGTCATTTTGTCGTGTGTCTCGATCCCCTTCACTTTCAGTACCTCCGTCCATTGCTTTTGCTTCTCCTCTTGGATGTTGTCCCACTCCGCAAGCCTCCTTTCCCGTTCTGAGGCCCATACCAACCACGAGATAGGGTGACCCTCCATGCGGTCTTCCGCCTCTTCCACCCTCTTCATACAGTCCGCCTCCCTTTCGTTCCTAGTCCTTGCCAGAATTCTTGAGATCACGTCAAGCACCCCGGACGTAATAGCCAGGCCCCCGTCCAACCATTCTGCATAGGAGTTGAACAGATGTCTAGCTCCCTCCCATCTGGTCCTGTGATCTGACACCCATTCCTCCACTCCGGGGACCCTTAGCACCTGGATGTTTAAGCGAAAGAAGCCTCTCCCTCTTTCGCAGCCCATAATCAGTCTAAGATCCACCACTACCGGTTTGTGATCGAAAATCGGGTGGCAGAAGTGCCTGACGGATGTGACTCTGTCCATCACCTGCTCTGAAAGTAAGAAGTAGTCAATGCGCCTTCTGGTCACCGTCTGTCTATCCCACTGCAGATGAGAAGTCCAGGTGTAACCTCGGTCGTCTGGGTTCAGAATCGGGAATGGGTCCACCAGCGTCAGCTCCGTGATGAATTCCAACACTGTCCTCACGTCCCCCCTATTCGCTGTCGGTGCGCCGGGTCTCAGGGCTTCGTCTAGTGACACATTGCAGTCACCAGCAAGTAGCAGCCTGTCTGCCTTGGGGACATGAAGCATCAACCTTGCGAAGAATTTTGCCCTTTCCGCTGCCCCTGTTGGTGCATACACCGTCATGAAGGCCCATTCCTCCTTACCTATGAGCACCTTAAGCCACGCCCATTTGCCCCAGATATCCACCTATGAGTCGATCACCTGAGCTTGTAGGTCCCTATGTAGCATGATGTACACTCCACCCCGGGTACCCTGCGCCGGGGCCCACACTTGTGGGCCCTCCCACCATTGAGAGAACTCAACCAGTTTCTCTTCATCTAATTTCGTCTCTTGAAGCATCACGCAGTTAGCCCTCCTCTCGAACATCCAACTCTTTATTCTTCTTCTTTTACCCCTCCCGTTCGTGTCTCCCAACCCTCTAACATTCCATGACACCGCTCGGATTTTATCCATGAAGTTTGTTTTCTTCCGCCAGCTGTTGGATGCGGGCATTGTCTCCTTGAGTGTTGACCTGCGCTTGAGCCACCTGTGTAACTTCTGTTGTAGATCTGCCTGGTCTTCGTTGAGAACTTCGTTGGGAGCTTCCCCTAGATGAGTTGGCCCAGTACGACAGTGCCCGCCATTCCTCGGTAAGCTTCGTGGCAATGAAGGGCGAGTTGAAGGTTCTCTTCTGCGATGAGCTTCTTGTTCGCATTCAGCAGGACCAGGCCGGAGATTCCTGGTAGGACCTTAATCTGTTCCAACTCTTGCATGTTGCGTTCCCTGATGAGGTCCATGTGGAACCAGCGAATGCCTGCCTTCGATAATGTGTGCGCCACTTCTGAAGGGATTCTGGCATCGAGGAGAGGAAAATACATCTTCGTATAGCCTTGAACTGTTTTACAAATGATACTGGCCATGGTCGAATGGGGGATCAGCCTCACTGGTATGTGTACCCCGTACATCTTCTTCGTTTCTTCGAAAATCATCGCTGGGGTTGGCGAACGGTTCACCTCCACCGAGGGAATCAGAGGAGCGCCCTCCTCACCCGAGAGTGTGATAAAACAGATACCCTCCGTCGTCCTGGTACACATTAGTGGGATCAGACATCTCTGCACCGACTCCATTCTGTTTTTGTCCACCGTCTCCGCTCTGTGGCCCCTGTCCGGTATACGACTGTCCTCCCTTGTCTGTTTGTCTTTGCCTCTGGTCCCTGATGCGGCTGAGCTTTCCATGGACGATGATTCACCTGATGATTCTATTTCCTCACAGCACTCGCTTCCCCACCTCACTTTGGAGTGCGAGGAAAAATATATCTTTGATTGCTCCACTTGTACAGTCGGGTTCTCTTTCTGCTGCAAGTCTGTCCCCCTTCCCCGTAGCGTCTCCTCCCCTGGCCTTTCTGGAACGGTGTGACCCCACTTGCTGTGTCTCCAAGTTTGCAAGCCATCTCCCCTGTTCCTCGGACTGTCATCTTTCCAAGCATCCCACCTGGAGCTGCTAGTCTTGGTTCGTCTTCTGTTTGACCCCGCCCTTCTTTCCCACCTGGAAGGGTCCGGGTCCGGGGGACCTCTGTTTTGCTCCTGCGGAGCCCAGCATCTTCAATCATAGGTATCCGACGGGTAACGTGGTTTTGGGTGTGACACCTGAACTTGATTAGCAAGGGGGTACGCGTCCCTAGGAAGTAGGTAGCCACCATCGGTGTAAGACTCTCCGTGGAACTGCTGCATGTTCTGCCATGCTTGACAATTCGTGTGGACCGGGCTTCCCCTGCCTGGCACCATTGCCCCATGCTGCCCATAGCCCTCTGTGCCAATCTCGGTATTGCCACCTGGCCAATCTCTTCTGGGGATCCAAGGTTGCATCAGGGGTACTCCATATCCTGGTCTTTGATCATTACCCCATGTTTGATCAGCCCACTGAGGTTCCTCCCACTGAGCATTCACTCCGCTGAGATCCCAAGGCGACGCTTCCTGCCGCTGGTTCTGCTGCGATGGTCCTCCCCGGGCCTCCAGTCCCGGGACTTGAGTACTTGTGTCAGTTGTGAGGTGTTGCGTCCTGGTTCTCCCCTCCCTGCTTTGTGTGGTACCTCCTGCCTCTCGTTGTCGTTGTCCATTGCTGGTACTTTGCTCCTGAGGCCCTCTCCCAGCAGACGGTGGATGGTCATCTCTCCTGGGTTCTGCCTCTTCCCTGTTTTCCCGTACTTGATTTAGCAGATGTTCACGGTACCGACCTCTATGTCCCCCCTGCCGTTTGCCATTGCCCCTTCTTCCCAACTCCATCCTAATTCTTGGACAGGTGTCTTCCGTATGGAAATACCATCTACATCGCCTGCACCAGTCCGTGTAAGGTGTTGCAATCTCCACCTTCCAGTGGGACCCCTTCGGAGATTCGATAACCAACTCATGCCTCTTGCTGCCGGGGGCATGTCAAACTTAACGTTCATGAGCTTCGACCGATCTCTGTCGTATTCAGGGCTGTGTGCGACTAGCACTTCCCCAAAGTAGGCTATCACCGCACCCTTCAGGTAGTAATAGGCATCTAGCGGGACTCTCAGGGCCATAATCCAGAACCTTGTCTCCGCTTCCAGGGTGCGAACATCCTGGAGTTCTTGTTTTGACAGTCTGGGTTTGAACGTCACCAAGTATTCTATTTGCTCCAGATTTATCTTCAGTTCCTTCTGACGAATGAGCCATTCAGCGATTTCCTTGGATTTCGCTACGTATGAGGCGACGTTTTGACCTTCAAACTTCAATCTCTCCCTCCTTGCCTCAGGTTGAAATAGCCGTTCCGCAGTCCATCCATCTTCATACGCTCTTATGAGGTCCTCCTTAACAGACCTCGACAGATTCTTGGCTTTGCCCTCGAACGTTACTATAACTGATCTCTCTTTAAGCCATTGTTCCTTCACTTTGTCTATCGCCTCGTTCACAACAAATCTTTTCCCTTCCTCGTCTTCGACCAGCCTTCCCAAATTGTCTCCTTCTGGACACATCCCATCATCGTAGCACCTGCTCACCGACTCTCTAACTCTGGATACGTCTTCCCTTGACTGAGGGGGACGCGGCGGTCTGCCACTCCCGGTTCTGCACGGATTATCCATGTTTTTGCCTCCTGGTGTCCTTCCTCCCTGTTGTCTGCTCCCGATCTAGCTATTAGGAGTCGCAGACCCCGCCTGGTGTCCCCCCTGCTTCCGGATGCCAGAGAGTCGGACGAGAGTGTAGTAAGCGAGGTCTTCTCTTGTCTCTGTTACTATCTGTCTTCAATTCTCGCCTGTTACCCCCTTCTACGCCTTCCTGAGTCTTGTGAACCTTGAGGAAGAGCGGATCCAGCGGAACACTCCGTCTGCTGAGATGTTCCTGCGAACTCGCAACCTGGTGGCACTTCGGTACTTGCAGGCCTGCACCCTGGGAGTTTGCTGGCTCCGTTCCACGCTTCTACCGTGCTTACGTGGCCGCTCCCCCCTACGCCCTGCCTGCAGCTCGTGTAGAAGGCTTCCGCTCTTCGTCCGACCGCTGTTCCTGTTCCCCTCCTCCGCTTGAGGGGGGGGGGGGGGGGGGGGTTATCTAATCTCAAACGCCTCGTGTCCGTCTACACAGCTCGAAGCCGTGAGTGCTCATATAGCTTCCATTGAGGGTGACTGAGGCCCAACTACAGCCGCGTGTCTACCTCCCGTGCCGTGATGCACTAGGATTTGAGATTCGATCCCTGGATCGTTGTCTATCCTCAATCCCGTTCCTTTCCTCGAGCCCGGGGGCGAGATGGATTGACACCTACGAAATTAGGTGTTCCTCAACCCTGTCTCTTATACACATCTAGATGTGTATAAGAGGCGTGTCTACCTCCCGTGCCGTGATGCACTAGGATTTGAGATTCGATCCCTGGATCGTTGTCTATCCTCAATCCCGTTCCTTTCCTCGAGCCCGGGGGCGAGATGGATTGACACCTACGAAATTAGGTGTTCCTCAACCCTGTCGGCCTTCCTTACTTCCCCTTCGTTCTTACTGCGCCCTGACTCGGAAGGGTAGAATTTCCTCGAGCCCGTTCCTTTCCTCGAACACGGGCGGCCATGGTCTAGCTTCACTAGTGGCTGACCCTGCGCCCTGACTCGGAGGGGTAGAATTTTCAGCATGCGAACCCTGTGGAACACATGGCACATAAACCTCCTCTGGCCTGGCCCTACGGTTGGGTATCGGAGAGGCGGGGTCACCTTTTGCCCTAACCTGGACGAACTTAACTCACACCCCCTGCCGACACGGCCTACCGAGGTCCGACCAATTTCAGTGCATACCAGATTCCTAACGGTTCCTTGCATACTACTGGCCCCGGTTTCTTCTTCCAGCGCTAAATTCGCCTGAAAAAACAATATGAGCTCTTCCTCTAAATCCCGTCATTACCTTATCACCGTGTTCTCTCGGAGCCTCATTTTTATCTCCTTCTTGCTCTATTCTCTCGGCCTGTCTTTCCTTTAACCAGATCTAGATCACCGGGAGACGATGATCCTGTCACATTCCTCATAACTGGAGAGAAAGACTCCCTCAACCCCCAGCACCAGCGTGGCTTTTGATATTCTCTCTTTTACCAGATCGAGATAAAAGGTGTTAACTTTCACGGCGCAATTCACGAGGGCCTATCCCTCCCCTCCCAATCCTCCCCAGCGAGACGTTGTCAGAAACCTTGAAAAGCTCACTCCCTTAGATCTGAGCATCCGGATAAAAGTGGCGGAAGACGTTCACCATCGCCTGTTAACCAGCGTCCGAATCCTACCCTGCCGGACTCCCCGAGGACGATTCCCCTTACCCTAGGTCACATGAGAGAGGTGTCCAACTGCCCCGCTTGTTCCACCTTGCCCGTCCTTTCCCATCGTAGTCCTCAACAGCACAAGTCGACAGTTGCCGTGGGGTCCTGCTCTTTCGGCTCTGCACAGCGGAGTAACTATGGCGGGAAAATTTYACCATCGCTCGATTACCCTGCGTTACTTCCTACCCTACCGGACTACTAGGGGACGGACATCACGGACGGGCATAGCCCCTCCCCCGCAGAGAGAGAGCGTGGTGCGTGACTTCGTACCTTGTCTCGATGGCGAGGGGAACGGCCCGGTAGTGCCCGACGCGCTGTTCGCGCCAGGCGACGGCAGAATTAGCGGAGCGCAGGGGGAACGACCCGGTAGCGTCTCGATGCCTCTTCGTTTCTGGTAATTTTTTTTTTTTTTTTTTTTCCTTAGATTTTTAGATTGTTTTCTTATATTAGATTTTGTTTGTTGTCAGATTCATGCCCGTTCGTTCAACGAAGGAGCTGACTCGTTGTTGGCAGGATGAGCAACTGGGAATGAACCTTCAGCCCGAATACGGGCATGTGCACTACGGTGGCTGCGCCTACTGAGAAGTGTGGCGCCCGTTGAAACGGGTAGGACTGTGACAAGCTGTTTCATCGGACTTACACCGACCCATCAGGGGGCTGTTCCCCGACAGCCCATCTTCGAATGGGCAAAACGAATGGGCTGCAGGGCGATGCCTGTACCCAGCGATGTTTGCATCCGGGTACAGGCGTGTTGAGTATGAACAAGGGGGGAGGGGGGGGGGGAATAAAGCCCTGATGGGCTTAGCTCCAATACGCCCCTGCAAATAAAAGGGGCGGCCGTCCGTTTCAAACGGCGAGCTGCCCCCTGCATAGATAAACGAGTGGTAGGTAGGAAAATATGGAAAAAAAGAGGGGCAACGTCGCGAATTTAATTGCGACGCAGGGCCAGATGCAGCAGAGGAAACATCTAGGCTCTGAAGTGACAGCAGACTGTTAACTTCAACAGTCTGCTTAAAATGGCTTAGTACAACCATTTTTGGCTGCGTTTGGCCGGGGGTGATGGCCAGATGCTTTACCAAGGCCTGGAACTCGGTTCCCTTAGGGGAACATTAAGTTTCTCAGCCCTTGATCGCGGATGAGATCAAGGGTCAGGCCTCACTCCGAATTTTGGCTGGGGGGCAAAGCAGCTGCCCTCAGCCTTCAGCCAACTATAAGAACAACCAGCAGTCAGCCAACCAACGTTCATTTGTGGCTGATGCTGCTAGCATTTCGCTTGGGTAAATGCTGGCTGCTGGTGGAGTGAGGGAGCTGAGTGGAGGTCTACAAGTGAGGGAGGAGAACTTTTGGAGGTGGCCATAGCTGTAAAGCACAGCCATAGCCGCCATCTCAGCGAGGGAAAGAGAGAGAGAAGCGTCGGAGGTTTACAGGGAGCGTGAGAGTGAGGGCAGCCATAGTTGCCGCTGCACTTGGTGGAGCGTAGGGGAGGTGTTGTTCGCTCGGCATGACAACGGCAACACTTTTAGGTGGTGACGCGAAAGCGTTGCCAAAGTTTTGCGGCGACAGCACCGAGTTTGACGGCAGTAGTGCGGAAGCGTTGTCGAAATTTTGCGGCGACCGCACCGGGTTTGACGGCGGTAGTGCTTCGTGGCGACAACACCGGGTTTGACGGCGATAGTGCGGAAGCGTTGTCGAAATTTTGCGGCGACAGCGTCGGGTTTGACGGCGGTAGTGCGGAAGCGTTGCCGATTTTTTTTGCGGCGACGACACTGAGATTATGGCGGTGACGCGAAAGCGCTGCCGATTTTTTATGGCGGCGGCGCTGAGATTTTGGTAGTGGTGCGGAAGCGTTGCCAGTTTCTCACGGCGGAGGCGGCAGTATTCTTGCACTGATTATATTAAGTGACGACTAAACAGTGGCACAGGGAAGGTACCGCAAAGTGGTGGTGCGCTTGAACGTGGTGAACGTGGCGCCACAGTGACATTGAAGACGTGTAACGGCGACATTGAGACATCGTCAAATTATTGCGAAGTGATTGTGTGTTGAGAAGGTGTTGTGGCAGGCGGTTGTCAGAAGAGAGTGGTGTGAATCACTTTGTTGATGGCTCATTGTGATAAGTTTCTCATATGAAGACAAGAGTTTATACGATTTTCTTCAGTGAATCGCATATCAACTTCACTCAAGGTCAGTCGGTCAGTTTATTGACTCAAATTTCCATTCACACCTATGTGAACCCACACTTTGCTTGACCCTATTCATTGAATGTTTGTTGGAAAGGTAAAGAAAAGTTGTGTGAGTCATGCATGTGAATGAAGAAGTCTGACTTGAGTATGAGAATGCACTGGTTCTCTCTTGAACTTGTCTTCTTTGTGTGTTGTGCAGGTAAGTAGAAGGATGTTTGCAGAGGAAATTGATTATGCCTGCTGGTGAACAGAGAAAAGGATTGTCTTTCTTTACCTTTCACCCACCTGCGTGAAAAAAAAAAAATGATTCGGCGTTTTGAAAAACTTTAATTATGTGTGCATCATAAAATGAGTTGAATTGAAATAAAGCAGATAAGGTCAAACATATTTATTTTTTTCCCCATGATCGACTTTCTATTCCGAACGACCTTATCTACCTATACCTATCCAAATGATTTTCGTTGTCTATCTTCTTCAGTTTCTTTTTCATCTAAGTCACTCAAACTTTATTGAGAATAAAAGAAACCTACTCATAGCGAATACAGTCTTTCTCTCTAGGAAGCATCGAACGCGGGGGTTTCGTATGCTTTCGGAGTCGGCCCTGTTATCGACTTGGAGTGGACCCAATTCGTCGGGGGTGGTGCTTTGTCGACTCGGTGGTGACGACCCAACCTCTGAGATCCGAGTCTTCGGGCTCGAGCGAGAGAGAGGAGTATCCACAAGACCACTTCCTAGAGGGATACGTGCGTGTCGGAGGCAGAAGAAGCTCAAACTCACAAAAAGATGTAGGTAATGAAGGTGATGGTTCTCTTTGCGCAGTGATAACGAATGCGGTTTTGTTTTAAGTAACTTGATGATAAAGAATGGATACTTCATCATTCAAGGATCGGAAAGAGTAATCATTGCCCACGAGGACTCGCTAGATAATACTTTCCTCCAAGCAAGTTGCATATGGTATGAAGGTGTGGTCGAACCGAGAGTTCAAACTTCGGCCAGAAACCAGATCACGTGTTGATCTGCATGGTAGCAGTGAAATTTACTTGCAAAAGTCATTCCTGGCATGGTTTTGATAGGTGTCGACATACCTAATTGTAAGATAAAGTTTAGGTCATCCTTCCTAATCCTTCGTCAATATTGGGCTTCGCCTCGGAAGCGGCGGTATAATAATCTCCTCAGTCATATAGACCGGGAAGAATAACTTTGACAGATCATCTCATCAAATCAAAATTCAATCTTGTGTGATTGGATATAAAGTGTATTGATTTAACTTATTTATTTTGTAGTCAGA